GTACTGTAGTTCAGCACTAGGATTGAACCACTTCTGTTCTGAAGCAGGGAAGGCACAAGAGTGAACGTGGAACACACACATGAAACCTATAAAGTTAAAGATGTAGGTTTATTATGAATTAGGAAGCTTATTAACTTAAAAAACAAACTGCATAGTACAAAAGGTTTGTTATCTTTGCTCAATGTGGAACAAGTTTCAAAATATATATTTTTAAAATTTGTTCAGTCAATACACAATCCTTTTAAAAAACTGTATATCTGTCAGTACCCTCATTACATTTATAAATACATGATTTACACAGCACCCCATCTGGAAAAATTAAAACTCCTTACAAATATCTACATATATTGCATACATATAAAACATTCATAGGAGTACTTTGTTAAACTTAAGTTTTATGGTCCATTTACACTGCAGGAAAATACATAAAAAAATCTGTGTATTTTTCATAAAATGTCTCTAAAAATTAGCACATTGGTAGCCATTCATAACACCCTTTAAAGCACTCTTTAGAAAGGAAATTTGATATGAATACATCCATGAGATTCAGCAGGTAAGACAGTGATACAAAGGCTAAATATGATTAATAACTGAACACTAAGTAGCAGTTAAGGCAGGGGTGAAAATAATTGATAGGAAAGATTATTTCATATGGCAGATAAAGTGACAAAATGCAATAAATACACATTTCTTGATGCAAACTACTCCGGCACTCACTGTTTTCCCTGTCCCAGAAGTCAGGAGTGTCCATATTTCTGACGCCGCTTCTTTTACAATTAAAATTCTACTTTTTTTTATCAGCAAAACATCAATGTGACTAGTGCTCTCAGGTGCTATTTGGATTTGCTTTAATTGCTCAGAACTGACTGTTCTGGAATGTGAGTTTAAGACTTCAATATGACCTTCCTTTATGGGTAATGACTGTCATGTGTCATCATACACGCTCACAGTTATCTCAGTTTCGACCATGCTTTCTGTTAAACGCTGGACTTATTGTTACTAAATAATATTTGAGAGAGTGTCTTCAGGAAGTTTGATTACTTTTCTTTATAATAACTTTTCCAGATACCAGAACCATACAGATCAGTGTCTCTCATATCGTGAGGACAACATGCGGCATATATGCAGACAAAAGGCATAAGAAACGCAAAACAACCTCTAACAGTGGTGGCAGAAACTGTTCTGCCTCAAACCTGATTATTTTGCATACAACTTTGGGAACTGAACATTCAAACTTTAAAAAAAAAAAATCCATTATGTCTGTATATTTGGGTTTCTACCCAATCCTGACCTATGTCAGGATTTGACATAGCATTTGCAGTCCAGTACTGGGTAGAATCACACCTAGTTGTGACCTACCATGCTGAACAAACCCTCCTGCATGTATAGTATCAACCTCAAGTATCACGGCACGTGAGCTTGCCTTGTACACAGCTGCCTTCCTTGCAGACGTCAGATACTCTTTACATCCCACCATGCTTCCAGAGCTGCAATTCAGTGCATGAATTTGTTCTGAAGTCTCCTCAGAAGTTAGCCTTCACACACTGCTATCTTGCAGCAATGGTTCAACGTCCTCTTCACTACTTCGGTCTAGGTTGCTACTCAGAGTACTGCTGATGCTGTTGCTGTGTTTTCTGGTACTGATGGCTTTGCTGTGGTCAGGAATAAATAAGGCAACTAGCAAAGCCAGAAGAACTATGCATGCTCCAACCAGAAAAGGTGGACCAGGAATGATTGCTCTCTGTGGAGAAACAAGCACATCAAAGAATTCATTAAGTTTTAGGCATTGACTTCTTTATTGAGAACTATACCATTAAGGCAGGAGATAACGGGAGCTGTATTTACAGTGACTATAAAGTCTACGCAAACAAGTTTGTATGTGCACTGCAACATGAATTTTCAGCATCTACAATCCCTAAAATTTCCTCATTTGATCTGCACACTGATCTGAAAATCAGAAAAATGCCCAAAACTATCAATTGACAACAGGATTGCCTAGCAGATGAAACAGATATAAACAGACATTGACTGATGCTTCTTCGTATTTTTTTTTCTATAGGCAAAATGTCTGTTACATCAGCAAGACTTCTCTGAAGATTAATAGGATAATGTTTCAACATCCAGAAGTACAAATGCTCAATAAATCTTTAACTTCACTTTTTCCACTTGCTTCCATGGCTGACATACTTCGAATCAAGTTAGCTGAATAGACAAACATCCCCAAAAACTAATACACAAGCGAGGAAAGTAACAGCAAGCTATGTAGTACATACCGTTCTTGCAGAGACAGGTTGCTGGCATGTAAAACAACTTGGTATTTGGAGTTATTCTCTCTTGCCTCTAAGCAGTTTATTTCAAAATTTGAAATATAACATCCTCATTTCATAACCACAATTAAAAACAAGCACCAGAAAAATTAAGACTAATTTCAAACCAGCTGTTTGATGACAAAACTCAACAAAAAAGTGTCAGCCATCCAGTAATTTTATTTTTTTTTAAACATTTTTTCTGTATTTTTGTCAACCAAAGCCAAATAAAAATCAGAAGATTAAACTTGTCAATCCAGTGTACTTTTTTCCTATCAAATGAAATGCTGGAAGTGATCCTAATACGAAGTGGAAAAGTAGCTGAAATTAAGCATGCAGTAACAGGAGGTTTCCCTTGCTTCAATTCTTGTTACAAGCAGAGGCCTAATTTTTCAGCTGATGGTCTCTAAATTTAACATATATAATCATATTACCAGAATTTATATTAACAATATTACTCAAATCTTCAAACGGTGCTAAGCTCAAAAGTACTTAAAGAATGTAATAAACTTCCACAAATTATTATCCTCATTTATAGTATGACAGCTGATTTATCTGAGCAGTTTTCAAATATTCCACTGTTGCAGCCTCACTGAAGGGAGTAAGAAGTTCTGAGAAGCAGTCCTTGCTCATCGCTTTGCCGAGCTCTCCAAACACTGCCTATGACTGCACTGTTTGCTGTAAGGGCTCCCTGTGGATAATTATAATGATGCAACCTCACTCGTAGGCTCTCCAGTTTTGAAAACAGTTATTTAAGTAGGAATTAAGATAAATATACTTAACTTCTACTATTTTTGCTCTGCAGAGCAGACACACAATCTTTCCTGAATAGGTGCATCAGATCTTTGATGGAAGAGAATCACAAGTGTGACCTGTGGTAACACTGCAGCTCTCCCATTTTCACGACAGGAAAAAAAAGTGATATTCAGTAAAATCCTATTCTTAAACCATCTAAAGGAACAGAAATTAATACTTAAAGGTAAGTCAAAAAAAGAAAAAAAAAGTTTGAGCTGCTTAAAAAAAAAGAACAGCAGAAGCGAACACTAGGATGTATTCTGCTCCATTTACTCTACATGTCAAATACCATAAATTGGCATCCAGACTTTCCCAGCACCACTGTTGGAATATGAAAGTTTACAAAACCATTATCTAACAATTTGTTTTAGCACTCTGTCCATCAGTGAACACAGAAGATTTTATATCTGAAAGGTACAATACTGAACTATGACCATAATCAGCTTTTACTAGTTGAGTTAAACTTAAATGTTTTCTTCCAAATGAAACAAGATAGCTCTCTCTCAAACTAAAATGTGTCAAAAGTTACACAAACAAATTTATTCTTCACATTAATAATTTCAACAATACCTGTGTAAATAATCTATTTCTGATAAGAATCTAAAAAAAAATAATCTATTTCCTGTAGTTGCCGTAACACCTAGTATTACAGTAACGGAAACAAAGGAGGAAGAATTGTTTTTAATTCACTCCAACAGCACACTAGGTTTGATAAAGGTTCAGCACAGTAACAGTGCTGAACTCAACTGAGTTCCTATAGACTCACTGCTTTTGACAACCAGGGGTAGAATACAAGTTTAAGCATAAAAAAAACCCAAAAAACCCACAATGTCACAAACTAAAACACATATCCGTTAACTGCAGTTCCACAGACGCCCAGTAACTTTCTGAAACGAGGTACTTGACCATTTAAACTTGTTATTAAAACTCTTGTTAGTGAACATTTAATAGCGTTTAATTAAGAAAACATTTTCAAACTACATATATCTGTTAAGTAACTCCGAGTTATGAATTTAAGACCTTGAACAAAATCAAGAGACAGGTAGCTTGCACTTGAGCCTTGCAAACCCAAGGTACCAGAATCAGTGTTGTCAGCTACACCTGTACACGTTTGCTAATTTTCTTGTCTAATCTTGGTGCATTCCCTGGTTTGCACTTCCACTCATTTTAGTTAGATAATTTTTAAAGCTATGTAATACTTGAATTGTGATGTTCTTCCCAACTGTTACACTAGACTTGAACATAAGAATTAATAGGAAAAAAATTGTATTGTTGTTTTCCTGATTGATAGTTTTACATGTTAGATGGCTGGTAACTATGAACAGGGAGATATCTGATTACAGACATTTAACAAAGCTTATGAGCACACACATAATTAAACATAAGAGCTGTTCCACTGAAATTAGAACAAAAAGCAATCTTAGTTATGTAAATACATACTGATTTTGTTGTACTGCTAACTAAAAAAAATGTCTACCTATTTATTAAGTAGGTTTTCAAGAAAACAAGGACGTCTGAAATGACTGTTTAATTTACACTTACAGCTTGGAAAAAAAAAAAATCACTATTTTATAAGGAAGTTCATACATTAGGCTTCAGTGCAGGAATTTATTCTACATCAAGATTTAGAAAATTCCACAACAGAAGTTTTATTTATAACTTACTGAAACAGTCAGTTGCTGCACCGTAATAAATCTGTGCTACTTCAACAAAAAAAAACACCACACATGGATATTCTTAAAGTAACAGAACATACTGACATTACTTGTAACAGAAATGTGCATACAAGGTCAAAAAGCCAACACGCTCCCTGCCTCCAAGAAAAGCTTATGTGATTCGATGCTTTAAAACATGGAATTCAAGAGCAAAATTTTAACTAGTGGAGGAATGAGCTCTTGAAATCCTGTAATCATGATTATAAAGGCTTTGCCATGTTTTACTACAGTTTCCTTTTTGTACAACAAAAAGAGTGGTTTTGCCCCCTTTCTCTAAAACTCTATTCAGTTTGCTTGAGCAAATTATGGAGCACCTCACCATAGGTACAGCAGCAAGCACTATGTTCAAGCACTGGTCACAGTGAATACTTCGAAAGATACCCGGACTGGGGGATCAAGAACAAACAGTTGCGTCCACAGTAATAGCCACCAGTTATGTATCCATTCAGCTAATCTGCCGTCTTTCTTAATCAGCTTAATGACAAACTAAGAGATCATCAGCTATCTGAGAAGTCCATTCTTAGTATTTGAAAAAGCAATGAAATTTTAGCTGAAGAGGACAGAGAAATCAAGTTAAAAAAAAAAAAAGGGTCAATAAGATTCTCCGAACCCTGGTAAGCATATATTTGGTATCTTGGGAGCCAAATCAGAAAGAACAAAGCAGACAGATAAAAACGCAGACCTGAAACAAAGATGGAAGGAATACAAAAAAAGACTGAAGGGAGTTCAAAAAAATATTGTATAGGATTGACTTCTCCCTCCACCTCAAGTTTCATAAAAGCGAGGAAAGCTGATGAACAGCATTGTTACTGCCACTGAAAAAGAAACGTGTATCTCAACTATATCCCGAATTACTGTATACGTGGATAATTAACGTACTTCTGTAAGGTTCAAATATAAACTTGCTATAACTTACTGAGTTACGAAAAACGAACTTTCTATTGTCAGTCTTTTATGTTTCACTGTAATTCAGAACAACAGCCATGTTTTGAGTAGATTTACATCAAAAAGGGTTAACTAGTTCTGTTAGAATATTGAAACAAAAGCTGCTACTACTGTAAGTCTAAATATTTACTACCAAATTTAAATTATGAGCTATCTTAACAGTTCGATAAAGCTGACAAGTGAGAATTAAGTAGTTCAAGAACTACAGATTTTAAATCAACGAAAAATGACAGATTTTCACCCTTACGAGTTCTACACCGTGAACTTCACACCAAATCTTCAACTTACCTCATCACCGGGATCTTGCATTGCTTTTTTCCCAGACGTCTGATCAGATGGCAATTCATTGAGTTCCACATGAAAGAGAAAGAAAATAAAGCCGTACAGTGCTGGTCCCAGGCCATTGCACAGACCTCTTATTCCAGTTATTATTCCTTGGACAACACCTAAAGAAGAACAAAAATAAGAGTAGGATTATTTAGGTTTTTTTAAACCAAGAATGAAACACCCAGAGCAAACAGCTCCGAGTGTATTCTAACAGCTATTCCAAAATGGCACATCTCAATTATTTCTACATACTAAGATGTTAAGAAATACATTTAAGACAACTTTGCTGGATTAAAATAATCCTCTGTATGACCACAGTACTGTCACTGCACTTGCATGCTACTGGAAGCGACACGAGTTTTGAATACTAGTGACTAAATTTATATGGAAGTCTAGTTTTCTCCATTAAAGTTCTTCCACCCCTACTCAAAGTCTACAATGAAGAAAGCAGAGTTTAAGGGGTTCATAGGTTAAGGCAACATAGACAGTGGCATTGAGGGCACCCTCAGCAAGTTTGCTGATGATACCAAGCTGTGTGGTGTGGTTGACATGCTAGAGGGAAGGGATGCCATCCAGAAGGACCTTGACAGGCTGGAGAGGTGGGCCTGTGAGAACCTCATGAAGTTCAACAAGGCCAAGTGCAAGGTCTTGCACATGAGTCAGGGCAATCCCAAGCACAAATAAAGGCTGGGCGGAGAATGGATTGACAGCAGACCTGAGGAGAAGGACTTGGGGGTGTTGGTTGATGAGAAGCTCAACACGAGACAGCAATGTGCACTTGCAGCCAGAAAGCCAACTGTATCCTGGGCTGCATCCAAAGAAGTGCAGCCAGCAGGTCAAGGGAGGTGATTCTGCCCCTCTACTCTGCTCTCGTGACAGCCCACCTGGAATACTGTGTTCAGCTCTAGGGATCCCAACAGAAGGAGGACATGGACCTGTTGGACAGGGTCCAGAGGAGGGCCACGAAGATGGTCAGAGGGATGGAGCACCTCTCCTATGCAGACAGGCTGAGAGAGTTGGGGTTGTTCAGCCTGGAGAAGAAAAGGCTCCAGGGAGACCTTCTATCAGCCTTCCAGTACCTAAACGGGCCTACAAGAATGCTGGAGAGGGACTTTTCACAAGGGCCTGTAGAGATAGGACAAAGGGTAGTGGCTTTAAACTGAATGAGGGCAGATTTTGCTTAGATCTCGGGAAGAAATTTTTCACTCTGAGGCTGGTGAGGCACTGCAACTAGTTCCCAGAGAAGCTTGGATGCCCCATACCTGGGAGTGTTCAAGGCCAGGCTGGATGAGGCTTTGAGCAACCTGGTGTAGTGGAGGATGTCCCTGCCCATGGCAGGAGGGTTGGAACTAGATGATCATCCTCAAGGTCCCTTCCAATCCTAACCATTCTATAACACTATGATAAATGTGGTACCTACTCAATTTATTTTTCAAGTGAAATTTAGAGTACTATATCTATGTGTTAAGGATTGTTATTGGCAAAATATGCACAAACTGTAGCAGATTTCTACCCTTCACCAATCTAAAATAGCATTTAAGTACCAGGTAACTTATTCAAGGTTGTACATTCAGCAGTACTGCACTAAATTCACAATATTAGATTGCTTGTGGGTTTACATAAGATTATTTTAGAAGCTTGATTAATCAAAGTTCTATAAGTGTATTTCTGTTTCAACTTCATTAAGTGATTGTGACAACAGCATACAAAGTTTTTTGATGATCTCACAGATTAAGATTCTACAAAAAACTATTTTTACCGTATTAGTAGTCTGCTCATCCCCTTTCTTCTTAAGGCACTAACTCATAAAAGGAAGGAAAGAAAATACACCAAGAAGTTGTCCAAGTTTTTTCTTCGTATGTTGACCTGTAAGTTTAAAATCTTCGTGCCACTAGGTGGCAAAATTTCACTGTAGAAATTATTGCGTGCCTGAGCTATTAACAGTAGTTTCCTCTACATAAAATGAAACATCAATGACTTCTGTCAACTTAACTATTAATATCATGACATAAATATAAAACAACCCTCTTAACACTCTTAAATCTCTCTATTTGAAACAAAAATGGGGGAGACAGGAATGATAAAAAAGCCATGTAAAATACTGTCTTTTGCACCTTTCAAACTCAACAGAAATCTGCTTCTTAGAACCCCAGCTACTTTGTACCTCCCATTATCTAACTTCAAGCTGTACAATGTTAAAGGGAGACTGATACTTAAAATTTATATATAGGTGGTTTTTTTTAAAGACAATACTGAATTCAGTTATTATATGCCAATGCTATACTTTGTTCCCCCACTGCATTTTAAATGAAGGGTTATTTCTGATTGTTCATTCCCCTTCACATCAAAATCAATGAATTTTTCTGTCTTCTCAGATCAACTGTTTACTTAAGCTTCCTTTTCTATTCCTTGAAAATCTGAAGTATTATAGCAAATAACTTCAACTTTTTCACACAGAATGGAGCTTCTTGCATAGGCTTATTTTAATCTAGTAAAACATTGGGTTTAGTTTCCATTAAAGAGACGGTATTGTTACAGTAATTGTCACTAAAAAAAACCCATAAAAGTTACCACATCTGTTTTTGTTGCTTTTGTAGTACTTTTACAGGAGCTAGAAGAGAAGTAGCTGGTCAGACAAAAGCTATGTATTTGGCAATGCAAATTTGATAAATTCAAGCATCTCCTTCCTCTCTACATAGATTGGTAGACTTCCATAGCTACTACCAAAGAAACTCATCACTCATCAACATATTTGAAAAGTACACCTAGGTAAGTATTCTGCTTTCTAGACAGAAGAGTCATCCAAGAAAGCTGTCCAATGCTGAAACAGAAATTCATTCAGTACTCACCTTGTTGATCTGACTCTGCATTTCGTGAAACCAGAGCACTGATCGCTGGGAACGTAATGCTTGACATTGCTGCTACAGCTCCTGCTGCCCACATCATCCTGTGTTAAATGCAAATTTGAATTAAAAATAAGACTGTCCATACAACTACTCCCCACCCTCCCAACAGGGGCCACAAGGGTACCCTTGATATCCTTTCAAGGCTTGATGTCCTTTCAAAAGTACTCTTATTAAAATACCTAAAGACTGGAAATTATCTGGTCATGGCCTTCTTCCTGCTCTCCTCTCACAAATTACCCTGAGCTTGCTGGAACAGAAGCACATTTCATTCTACACTAGCCATTACAGCAGAGACAAAGAAGGGAGTGGAAGAGAAGTGATGCATGGGCTTTTCCCTCTCCAAAGGCTGTACAAAGGGACAATTTCACAAGGTGGCCCAGTGAGGCAGTTCTCTAAGTTACATAACTCACTATGA